GCTTCCATCAACATACGCAGGTTTTGACGTTTGAGTTTTTGGTGCATTAACTAATGTATTTTCAAAACAAAAGCTTAAGCTGTGAACCTTAATTAATCAACCGTTTATAAGTTAAGGTTTATCATAATATATAGGAAACAGTACCTATCAACCTTACCTCTTAAAGATTAGGAGGAAAATCATCTTAAAATTACGTCATTTCAATAAATATTTATTTAAAAAATGCTAAACTATTATATTTTTAAAGTATGCATTAAGGTAATTTTCGTCATTTTTTCTCTTAATTTTTTGGAGGTAAGCGGTTAAGCACTAACCCCTAATATATATATATTACCCTCTTAAATTTCATTTTTCAAGTATAATTTACAGTTAGAAATTTTTAATCTAAATCTTAAGGATATAGATTAAAATGTATTTTTTTAACATAAATATATATTAAAAAATATAAAAATTGATATTAATTTTAATATTTGTGCTAAGTTGATGCATTTAATTAAATAATTAATAAATTAAATATTAACTTTTACTTTATAATATAAATTTATTATAAAAAATATATATTTATTAGACTATATTAAGGTATGCAGAAAAACCTTTTATAGTTTGATATGCATGCAGAAATATCGGTTAGCAGTAATTTTCTCTGTTTCAATAGCAGTAATTTCCTCATAAATTATATATTTATAGTTTCATTGGAGAGTTTTTTGTGCTAAAAGTTCATTGATTAACAATAAATGTAAAAGCCCAAAATAAAATTCATTGGCCAGTAAGTGGTTTTTTATAGGTTAAGAATTTAAATCTTAAACCCAACTGTATTTAAAGAAATTTAGTTTCGTAAATGTTCAAGGTGATTAAAGGGTGCATCTTTAAAATTGTTATGAAAAACATTAATTTTAAAATATATAAAAATTAAAAATTAATTTAAAGATACTTAAATGTAAATATAATAATAATAATAATAATAACAATAAATAACAATCCAAGCAGGCACCAAATTGTACTTGGATATATTATAGATTATATATTATTTTATTTAAAAACTTTTACTTAGAGTCTTATCAATCAACAGCACTGTCCTGGTGGATAACACAGGCAAACATGCAAAGTGGGAGAACAAATGGTACAAGGGAGTATTCGATAGCAATCAGCATC